TCCTCGATGCAGACCAACGGCTTGGAATCCTCGTGCTGATCCTCTTCCTCTCGTCCTGCTGCTTACATCGAGCATACTCCACAGATGTTACGCTCGATATGCTTGCAAGTTATAACCTAAACAAATATCGTCGTGTCTTTTCCTACTTGAATAAAGAGTTGATGCCTTTTCCTAGCTAAACACTTTAAATACCAAAAATTTAACCCTAACTTTAACTTTTGTGTGTAAAACAAAGTTGACTAAATATAGTTAGTCAATCGTTAAGGAGATATTATTCAATGTATAATTTAAAATCAATTTCATTTCATTTTACAAAAGAGTGGATTTTACAAAACAAAAAAAAAGTAATCTTATTATTCGTAAATAGTTAAAGAAAAAACCGAGTTGAACAAAAAAGAAAAGTTAAAGAAAAAGCTGTAGAGGGCTCATGAATATATTTTGGGTCTAAGCACCGCAAAACAACATTACCACCAAAACTCTAGACGGAAAAACTAGAAAACAAATTTCATAAGATAAAACTAATTATATTTAGCTAATATTGGCATCTCTCCACATAACTGCAGCTATGGTCGCTGTCAATTGTCTTGCATAATATTTTTCTTGCTCTTGGTTCTGAACATTTTCTACACGACCATTTTCTTGACCGCCGTTTGCTGCTGAAGTTTGATTTTCAGTTTCTTTATCAATTTCATCTTCTTCCTCATCACTAGAAAATTCATCTAATCGACACATTCTACGAAGAAAGTGATGTAAAGCCGCACATGCAAGAACTATCCCTGCTTGGGTTTTAGAAGAAAATGGTGGTGCAAATTTAAAAATCAAAAATCAAGATTTAAATATACCAAAAATCTTCTCGATGACGTTACTTATGGATGCATGGCGAAGGTTGAGCAATTAATTTTAATTTGCTGGACCACTTCCTTCACCACTAAATTATTGGAGATGATATCGAGTACTTCGTAGCAGAGCTAAAAAATTACATTTCAAACCCACAATAAAAAGATTAATGAACTTGAACCTAATCCTGAAATGCTAAACAAGCAAAGCAAAATGTGAAGTGTACGTACATGCCAAACTTACAAAAATCCATCATCCAAGTTGAAAAAACAATTGAACCTCTAAGTCTAATATATACAAACTTGTGTGATTTAAAAAATGCACCAACTAGAGGTGGTAAGATATTTTGTAATGTTCGTCAATGATTACACAAAATATTGCTATTTATTTCTGTTATGTAGTAAGGATGAGACCTTAGAAAAACTCAAGGAATATAAGCATGAAGTTGAAATTCAACTTAATAAAATTATTAAAATAGTTAAAAGTGACAGAGGAGGCGAATATGATAGACCATTCGATGCCTTTTGTCAAGAACATTGGATTATCCATCAAAGAACCGCTCCTTATTCACCGGAATCTAACTGAATTACGGAACAAAAGAACCAAACTCATAAAGAAATGATGAATGCGATCTTACATGAATCTGAGTTAGCGGAAAAAACTTCTTATGAATTTTGGAAAGGTACTCCACTATCGCAAAAAAACTTGAAAGTGTGGGGGTGTCTAGCAAAAGTCGCAGTACCACCTCGAAAAAGGTCATAATTGGACCAAAAACAGCAACTTGTATTTTCATTGGATATGCACACAACAGTAGTGTTTATCGGTTTCTAGTTCATAAAATCAGTTGTACCGAATATCCATGTTAATACAACCATGGAATCTAGAAATGCATATTTCTTTGAACACGTGTTTCTGTATAAAGATAAACAAAATCCAAAACGAACTCGTGAAAAAAGAGACGTAGTCACCTCCGTAAACCAGGAAAGCACTTCGTGCACATCTTTTCATGATGCCGAAGAAGCACAAGATGAAGGAATTTTTTTATAGTGAAGATATCTTAATGGTCTTTCGTACAGAAAATGAACCAAGAACCTTCATTGAAGCCATGCCTACACCAAATGCACCTTTATGGAAGGAAGCCGTTAATAGTGAGATCGACTCTATTATGAAAAATCATACATATATGATAACTGATCTACCATAGAGGTTTAAAGCACTAGGGTGTAGATGGATATTCAAAACAAAGCTGAAAATCGATTGCTCCATAGAGAACTACAAAGCTAGGCTTGTGGTGCAATATTCTGGCAAAAACAAGGCTTGAATTTCTTTGAAACATATTCTCCTGTGATAAGAACAACTTCAGTCTTAGTGCCTGTTAGCATCACAGCATTGAGTGACCTAGAAATCCATCATATGGATGTTAAAACGGCCTTTCTAAATCGTGATTCAGAAGAAGATATTTATATGAAACAACCCGAAAGGTTTGGAATTCCCGGTCAAGAACATAAAGTTTGTAGACTTGTGAAATTGTTGTACGGACTTGTACAAGCTCCAAAACTATGTCACGAAAAATTTGACAATGTAATGTTGTCAAATGGTTTCAGCATCATCGAATGTGATAAATGCATCTACATAAAATGTACTCCACAAAGGTATATTTTTATTATGCTTGTGCATAGATGACATGCTCATTCTTAGAAGCACGAAATATCTAATCAATAAAATTAAGAACTGCTAAGCAACAACTTTGATTTGAAAAATATAGGACTGGCGGATGTAATTCTAGGGTCCAAATCAGTAAAAATTCTGATGGAATCATCTTGTCCCGAGCTTATTATGCTGAGAAAATACTTGAGAAATTCAAAAACTACTCAAATGGAACAGCAAAAACTCAAGTAAATTCTCAATTTCACTTGATTAAAAACTCGGGTGAAGCAGTGTCACAACTGGAGTTTGCAAGAGTTATTGGATGTCTAATGTACCTAACAAATTGTACTAGACCCGATCAAGCGCATGTAGTAAATGTACTAAGTTGCTATGCAAAAAATCTGGGACATAATCATTGGACGGCAATAACTAGAGTATTAAATTACTTAGGTTATACCAAAAATTATGGTCTTCACTATGGTAGAGAACCAATAATCTTAGAAGGATATAATGATGCAAACTGGAAATATTATTCTAAGAACTCAAAGTCCACGAGTGGATATGTCTTTATGCTTAGGGTGGAGCGGAATCCTGGAAATATAATAAATAGACTCTGCTAGCCAGATCCACCATGGAATTAGTATTGATAGCACTGGACAAAGCCACATTGGAAGCAAAATGGCTTCAAATATTTTTGGCAGATATCCCGATGTGGGAGAAACTAGTGCCACCATTACGTGTACATTGTGATCGTCAATCGTCTATTGCTCAGGCACTGAACAATGTTTACAATGGTAAATTTCGTTACATTAGACGATGACATAAAAGCATTAGACATTTGATCTCAAATGGTCTAAGCACGATAGATTATATCAAATCAGTGGACAACTTAGTGGATCCATTTACATCAAGAGGAATGGGTTTAAAGCCTATGAATTAAGAAGAACTTTGATGGAAACCCCACCTATGTAACTGGAGATCCCAAGAGCTAGCTTCAAAAGAATAACTAAATAAAATGGATTCTGAAAAGAACACTGTGAGACTTGTATTCTACTCAGTTCCTAGGATGATAAACAATGGTAAATACCTTTATGTAATAAGGTTAAGCGTTAACTTTTAATGATTCCATAACTTTTTAATAGTAAAGTATAACATGATACTTCTGGATAAGTTATTGGCAGATCCTATAGTGAGTGATAAATGGGCTGTTTCTAGGAGAATGAAAGTAAGGCTATATTCTCTAAGTTCACTTATGACTAACCAGGCATGTTCAAGGTCAAAATGAACACAACAGAGAACTTAGTTCTACAAGAAATAAAGCTATATTATAGTTGTTGTCTCGATTTACACCAAAATTCAGGAGGTACATGACATCATGTTCACTTCCTGGCCGAGTAAACCCGACATATATTAAAACTGAGTAGTTCAAAGCTGGAAAATGCTACGTACTCAAAACAGTGAATTTTCATTGAAACTCTCGAAATGTCTATCTATCTAGTCGTAGGAGTAATTCTAATCAGTAGAGTCTAAGTAGAGTCAGTCGTGTTTTCATATGTTTAGAGTCATTTGTATTCATGTGGAGGATTGTTGGATCTAATTTTGCTAGTCGTTGGGCTTTTGGGAAAAATTAGGCAAAAGAGTGAAGAGAAATGGGCTGCAGCCAAAGTAGAATAAAAGCGTAAAATGTGAAGATTTGTCCCACATTGGAAACACAAAAGAAACATCTCTAGTATATATAGAGATGGGTAAATGCGCATGTTCAAATGGTAACTACCCATGGTGTGCTCGAGAGATGTTGGATAGATCCATACGCGTATGCCACCATCGCCGCCAAGCCAAGCCAGACCAGGCCGGGCATGGGCGTTAGTCGTGTTGGTCGAATGGACCTTCAGACTGTAGGCAAATATTCTTTTCAAGGCCTAATTTGGAAATTGTTTTTGGACTCAGTCTTTAAACTAAATTGTTAATAGTTTGACTAAGAAGAAAGAATCAGTCATGTATTCTATGGGATTTAAATACAAAGGATATCATTCAAATGAATCATAATGCTTTGTGAATTTGTTTCCCCACCATTACTCTCTGCGTGCTCTACACACTCGCCATTATTTGAGAAGATACTCAATTGGCTCCTCTATAAAAGAAAGCCTCCACTCTCATTCTAAACATACAAATTTCTCACTACAAAATATCTCTCTCAAAGTGTTCTAGCAATCCTTCTATTTAAAGTAAGTTTTGAGAATTTAAGTAGACTTTCTTATGTTCTAGATTCCGTCTCCGAGTGTTGTGAAACGGTATTACATTGGTTGTATCTTGAGACTCTAAATCGTACAGTATCATCACTCTACAGTCGATTTCTTGAGTTAAGGTAAAAGGTTTCGACTCGATCACTGTTTCTTTTGTAAAACGTGTTTTCAAAAGTCTCGTTTCTTTTCTTCCCTTACACTATTATCATCTTTAATCAGTTTTATATATCTCAATAATTATTTCGGTTTTTGCGGTTCCTATACAAACAACTAGATAATATTTTCCTGAAACATCAGAACACATAAAATATGATATTGATTATTATTACTTTCTAGAACTGGCTGTCTGTTAGTTCTTCTTGTTAAGGCATCTTGTAGAACTTTTGAATCATGAACTGAGTCTTCCCGTCCACTTATAACATATATGAACTCAAGATCAAAGTTGTAAGCAGCTAGTATGTTTTGCAAAATGACTCCTTTTCGATTATGGTAACATGCTTTTTCAGGACTTTTTACCATTGCAGTAATATGAGTGTCATGAATAGCTTCGATATAATCCTAAAATAAATTTAAAAATCATTAACATATAAAGTAAAAAGAAATAATATTCAAACATAATAGATTACCTTGAAGTAAGGATAAAATCTTGTGCTTTTACTGATTTTAGCAACACTAAATGAGCAGGCTTGGCCATCTAACTTGGTGCAAGCGTGCTTAAAATTTTGAGAACTTTATGAAAATTCGTGCTTGCTGTGAATTTTGGTCTTTTGAAAGTGTCTATCGTGTCACAATATCTTGAATTTTAGCCAAATATCATAAAAAAAAGTAGCAACCATCTTCCACACATATGTTGTGTGTTCTCCAACTCTGTTTGTGTTCTGATAAGATAGCATCATTCCGCAAACACTTCAGGATACATACAATTAAATTGCCAAAAATGAACAAGATCATTTTCGAAAAACTTTTGTAATTAATCATATCCCTCTCTAGTGTTTTTCCGCCTAATTGGGCGTTCGATTCTCATATGCATCAAAAGATCCTACATTATCAATAACATAATATATGCATCTGAATCATCTTCTTCGTAAAAGTTTAGTTCCACTAATAAAAGACTTACAATAGCAATAATATCACACAATCACCAGATGTTAAATAGCAACATAAATAAAAAGTATTATTAGGATATAAATAATGGTTATTATGAAATAAAGGGGAAAAAAGGTTGGAATTAGAGGAAGAAGAAGAAATTAATTATTAAGAAATAATTGACCTTAAATGTAGATGAAGAGATGAATATTTTATGGAGCATATCTTTTCTGCTTTTTCTTCCCTTGGTAAGGAAAATGGTGAGTATACGAGATATGGCATAATAGTTGATAATGTTAGGTTAAAAAATCTGACGAAAAAATGGTTAGATTCTGATTGTTATAATTTACACATATAATTGGAATCAATTTTATTCAAATTCTTTCATGTCAAAGAAATTGTAAAAAACTCCCAAAGATGAATAACGCATGAGCTTAATTGTTGTATTCTTTATTTTTTTTTGCATCAAAATCACCATGCATTAGTTTTAAGTTCCAAAAGACACACATTTCTCAGTATAAAATATCTCTCTCAAATCGTTCTAGCAATCGTTCTATTCAAGTTAAGTTTTGAGAATGTAAGTAGAATTTTTTAAGTTCATAGATTCCATATTCGAGTGTTGTAAAACGGTCTCACATTGCTTGTATCTTGAGATAATATTTTCCTAAAACATCAAAATACATAAAATATGATATTGATTATTATTGTTTTCTGGAACTGGCTGTCTGTTAGTTCTTCTTATTAAGGCATCTTATAAAACTTTTTAATCATGAACTGATCCTTCCCATCCACTTATAACATATATGAACTCAAAATCTAAGTTGTAAGCAGCTAGTACATTTTGCATAATGACTCCTTTTCGATTATGGTAACATGATTTTTCAGGATCTTTTACCATTGCAGTAATATGAGTGTCATGAATAACTTTGATACAATCCTAAAATAAATTTAAAATTCATTAACATATAAAGTAAAAAGAAATAATATTCAAACATAATTGATGTTACTGCATATTACATACATTTTGCATACTCATTAGTTAGCTTTTCATGCATTTATATCACATTTTAGGTTAGATTGCATCACTTAGAGTCCTAGAGCATTCTTGCACCAGCATACGCATGTTCCTTGTATTTTGCATCATATTTAGGTTGTTTCTGGCTGCTTTGGAGTCGTGGAGGTTCGTGGACTTGTTGAGGCTGTTGTAGCAGTTCGTGGAAGCTCGGATATTTGCTAAGGATCAGAGATCGAGGAGCAGATCGAGCATGACCGGTCGATCAAGGATGTGATCGACCAGAAGATCAAGCCAACCAGGCGATCCAAGGAGAATGATCGAGACGAGGATCGAGTGAAGCAGTCGATCAAACGGTACGGACGTAAATGACGCCATGCAGAGCGAGAGCCAGATCGAGTACACCACCCGATCCAACCGAAGATCGATACCGAGATCGGATGCAACACTCGATCCGCCGATGATGATCGAGACCCAGATCGAGCTGAAGACACGATGTCCGGAGATGATCGAGAGAACCACTCGATCCTGGAGTCGATCTCTGTCCTTTCTACCACTTTTGGCCGCTAGCGAGGGGGGGGACCATCAGCTTGTTTTGGCCATTTTGGGAAGGCGGCGACGTTCTTTTCCCACACAACTTTCAATCCTTATCTTTTTCTGTATGTTTTCTCTCTGGTTTTGACGAAGAACACCATTGTCGAACTTTGAGTTTTCTTAAGCTTTGTAATAGAATCGTTTTCATCTTAATCTAGTTTTCTTTTTATGTTCATCGTTTCCTTTTACATGCTTTGCTTGATTTACCTTATGTGTAGTGAGTAGTTTATTTGGGTTCGGGGTTGAAAGGATTAAGGGGTCTAAAGGGTTTTGATCTTGGATTTTTTCTAAGTGTTTTCAACGGCTATCTCTTCTAGGGTGTTGAGATCTCAATGCTTGAAGACTCTCACGCCAAGAGCTTCATGATCCGAGAGGTTCCTTACCTTGACAGGATTCAGGAGCCTCGGAAGATCACACCCTAGAGACTAGTTACCCCTTCCCAAAAGCCATGGAAGTTTGGGGGACTAGTTAAGCCACTCATTTGAAATCTGTTTTCCATGCCCTTCGACCTCTCTTTCCACCAAAAGCCATGGGTTTGGAGGAGGGGATGAAGGAGTGATCTATACCGAAAGCCACGGATAGATCTTGCTTAGTTTTCAAGGCTTAGAGATCCTCACAAAGTGAGTCGATTTAAAGTTTTCAACCCAAGGTCGAACCTTTGAAACCCCTGACCATGAATCTCAACCCTATGCCCTTTTTTTTAGCATCTTTACATCTTCTCTCATCATTCGCTTGATCTTTGATAGCATCCTGGTCGTTAGTTTTACTGTTCTTGCATTTTTAGACGAGATCGATTGTTATTGCTCGATCTAGTGGTCGATCTCATGGTCGATCCACTAGTCGAATTTTAGTAATTCGAAGCTTTGTCCTTTAATTATTCTGTTTGTTCCTCGTGGTAGTTTGATCCTTCCTAGTAATTTTAAAATAGGTTGCATTTCATTTAAGTTGCTGCATCTAGTTTTTATTGATTTTCTCATAACCTATCTTGTTTCGTTTAGATTTGCATTAGTCCTTGTATTCTCTTTGAATTCTCTATCATCCTAGGTGTGGATTGACTCTCTCTTGCTTGCTGTACTACAACCTGTCTTGCATTTGAGTTTGATAACCTCATTGCATTCTCACCCTTGCAAATAAAGTGACTATCAAATGGCGCCGTTGCCATCCTAGGACTGTTTAGAGAACATAGAGATTTGGGACTTAGCAAAGACTAAGTCTTTACCTTTTTCAAGTTACTAATCATTCTACTCTCAAACGTGTGTTTTCAGGTATATGAATCTTCGTTCACGGGGAGATAACAATCTACTTCCACCTTTGGACAATATTCATCAGCTTGGTCACTCACGGCAAAGAAGAGTCAGAGAACAAGCCAGAGCCTTTGAGGAGATTGTTCAGCACGGTTTGGTTGACTTTGAAGTTATGGCTGAACACGAGCATCCAGAAGGACCTCCTCCAGCTCACGGGGCAGTAGGAAGGGGCAATGGAAACCCCCAACACGTGGCTAGACCCCCAAGGATCATAGGAGCTGGAGATGCTCCCAACACTCATCACAATAGGTTTGGGATCACTCCTCCTCCTGTCCAGAACAACAACTTCGAGATCAAGCCAGGTTTCATCTCCATGGTGCAAAACAACAAGTTCCACGGCTTAGCGATGGAAGATCCCTTGGAGCACCTTGACAACTTCGAGCAAGTATGTGGGATGATAAAGATCAATGGCATATCCGAAGATGCTTTCAAGCTGCGTCTCTTCCCCTTTTCACTTGGAGACAAAGCTAGGCATTAGGAGAAGACCCTCCCACAAGGCACCATCACCTCATGGGCCGAGTGTAAGAAGACCTTTCTCTCAAAGTTCTTCTCAAGCACCAGGACAGCACGATTGCGAAGCGAAATCAGCGGCTTCACTCAACGGAACAATGAGACATTTAACGAGGCAATGGAGCGTTTCAAAGACTACACGATCCAATGCCCTCATCACGGTTTCAGCGAGGAGACACTACTCAGTACCATATACCGTGGAGCTTCACCGAAGATCAGGTTGTTGCTTGACACAGCTAGCAAAGGGAACTTCCTTGGTCAGGAGGTAGAAGAGGGTATGGAGCTGATAGAAAACTTGGCATTGAGTGATGGCAACTACGCCGAGGACTATGACCGTGCACCGAGAGGATCAGAGCTAGAGTCTCACAAAAAGGAGCTGAAATCTTTGCATGAGAAGATAGATAAGCTGGTGTTAGCCAATCAGAAGCATGTTCACTTTGTTGGTGAAGCTGATGAGAATCAAGAGGAGTTAGAGTTGAGCCAAGAGGAAGCCAATTGGGTGGCAGGATAGAACAGCTACAAACCTCAAGGCTACAACCAAGGCTACCAGAACAACAACCTCTCCTACCGAAGCACCAACGTAGCCAACCCTAAGGATCAAGTGTACCCTGCTCAGCAAGTAAAACCTTTCATCCCTTACAACAAAGGTTTTCAACCGAGTGGTGGTTTCCAAGGTCAAGGGCAGAACAACTTCCAAGGGCAATATCAAAGTAACAAGGGTTATACGCCTAACTACCCTCCGGGCTTTGCACCTCAGCAGCAACAGCCGTTGCAAAAAAAAGTTGATCTGGTTCAAGCAATGTTTCAACAGCTGATACAAGGGCAAGCCTCTACAAACCAGAAGTTTGCCGAGATGAACAATCGTCTAGACTCGTCTCTCACTGACTTCTCCACTCAGATCACCAACTTAAACAACAAGATCAAGCAGCTAGAGAAAGGGAAAGCGAGTACAAGTGGTCAGAATAGTCTTCCGGGAAAGTGTGAGCAGAATCCTAAGGAGTATGCTAACGCCATAACGTTGAGAAGCGGCAAAGAGCTCGAACCTCCGGTCTCTACCAAGAACAACAAGGACGTTGTAATTCAAGAGGGGGAGGGTAAACCTTCAGCTGATGATGATGAGATTAACTTTGACAACATTTGGATCCAAGGGCCAAGAAAAGGAGACAAAGCAGTTGTTGAGAAGAAAGCTGAGCAAATTACTAAGGAGAAGAATGCTTATGTGCCTCCACCGTATGTACCTAAGCTGCCTTTTCCTGGCCGTTTCAAGAAGCAACTCATAGAGAAGCATAGAATCCTCTTTGAGAAGCATCTTAAGGACGTGGAGATCAAGCTACCTCTCATTGACTGCCTTGCAATGATGCCTAAATGCGCCAAATTCTTCAAAAACACTCTAGTGAAGAAGAATAAGGAAAGCAAGGAGGTACTTGTTCTAAGTGAAGAGTGTAGTGCTGTGATACATAAGGAGATAGTCCCTAAGAAGTTGGGAGACCCTGGAAGCTTCACTATACCCTGC